GGGTGTTGGATGCATCCCAGATTGCGCTACGCTAACCTCCGTACTGGTCAACTCTCCATCAATCGGGGGTACAGCAGTCGGGTCCCAATCCCCAACTAAATCAAACGAAACATCGAATCCTCTAACGGGCCCGAACTCAGCCCCGTCCGCATCCCGGAAGAACCAGGCAGTATAAACGTGGGTCTCCCAAAGAGGTAATCCTACTTCTACGAAAACGGTTGTGGTATGCTTGATCCAGGTCATTCCATCCCCCATAGGAAATTCTGTAACTTCATTCTCGGTGTGCACTGGTACCCCAAAACGTTCTGGTGGCGGTGGCGGTGGGTTCATGGCTCAGGTCGGGGTTCTGAAAATATTGGTTGAAACAACCATGAGAACACTTCTCAGCAAGTTCACCCCTAAACCCCACCTAGGCTATCACGTACCTCCAGACAATTTCACAAACACAATTACACACATACCATTATCACATAACAGGCACATCAGTACAATCACAAGCATGCACAATTCTCATGTCATGCACTCATTCCGTTCTCATCATATCTCATCCACATTCCTCGCCAGTGACCCGCGTTAAAGTACACGCCTCAGGTACACTGCGACCTCTTTCCACAACACTTCCGGGCCCGCGTAAACGTACACGCCTCAGGCTCAACACCTACCACCTACTGCACAACCCGCGTTGAAGTACACGCCTCAGGCTAGCAGTCTTCCGGTAATACCGGGCATCGTCCCGCGTAAACGTACACGCCTCAGGACGGCACAATTTCCACGAATTCATGTCATACCACATCCACTTTCTTACTCAGGCATATGCTCAACAAGCACTTACCACACACAACTGGCCAATCACACGTGGCCCGTGCACGCATCAATTACAGACAACCCATGCTTACTCAGCATTTGACATGGCCAATTTTAATAATTAAATCGGTATGGCCCACACGTGCACCCAACAAGCATATTTCAATCGGGCAATTACACAACCATGCACTCAATTTCATCACAAAATTTCAGTCACAGTTCAAACACACCATAACGCACAAATCGCCATTTTTCTCCAACCAAATGGCATCAAATCGATTTCGGTCCTTCACGAGACTTTCTCGCCATTAAATGTCGGTTCTAAAAATCCAACTTGCGTCCCGATCAGCCCATCACAGCCCCGTGAACAGTAGTCCACAGCCCACTGTTGTCCTCTAATTTCCAATAAAAATTGTCCGAATTCAATCCTAAGGCCCGCCACAAAATTTCCACTCCTAATTCATGCAATTCCGCACCTAACTTATACCCGATTTCACCCAAAAATCGCCCGTCAATACCCGAAATCCTAAGTTGGGTTTAGAGCACGACTTACCCGCGTTCTAGACTATCGCGGCTAGAACGGAAAGCGGCGGCGCTCAATCGGGAACGGCGGCGAGCGGCGGCGACGGCGTACGGCTTCCAGCGGCGGCGATCGGCTTGGGCGGTGGTCAGCTGGCTCACGGCCAAGAGAGAGACCGAGAGGAAGAGAGAGAGAGAACGGCGGTGAGGTGGCGTGAAGGTGATGGCGGCTCGCGGCGGTGGGCGGCGGTGCCGGCGTACGGGCGGTGGTGATGGCGACAACGGCTTGGGCGGCGATCGGCAAGGAGAGAGAGAGAGTGTGTGTCTATGGTGGGGGGCTTCACGGCAAAAGGGGGGAGAGAAATGAGAGAGAGAAATGGGTCTTCTTGACCTAAATAGTGATTTTTGACCCAAATTGGAAAATGACCAAAATACCCCTCTCTCACAAATTTGATCCAACGGTCCAAATTTGATCTAATCTTGAAATCGACGGCCCAGATCGAATCTTACCAAAAATATCCAAGGGCACTCTTGTAATTTCTCAAAAAGTCCAAGGGCAAAATTGTCTTTTCCAACTTTTAGGGCAAAATTACCAAAATGCCCTTGCCCTTTAAAACTAATCCTTTAGAAATCCTTAGAGGTAAAATGGTCACTTTCTCCGTTTCTCGCCAAAATTGAACTTTTCTGAAAAATCCGAAGAAATCCAGAGATGTACGTTCCAATTACAACGTCGTCCAAAGGCCCTGCAGTGACTTTCCGAATTTTCTGACGCTCGGTTTGGTCTCTACTCAATATTCCAATTATATATTCATAACGTAACTCGAGCGTTTCTCAGAGTAACGGGTGGCTTTTGGGAAATTCGCCTGTACGACCCGTGACTGATACTAAATCGAGTCACGTACAATTTATTCAGACCGTAATGACTTCGATTGTCATTAAAATCGCGATGATCAATTGTTAGATCCGAGGGACACGATCGTTTGGTATAGGTTCAGGATCATTCGTCAATTCGTTTCGTGGCCCGGCGGAATCACCCGCGACCCACTACTATGACAGTGGCGAATTGACCCCTGACTATCCTTGGATCGACCAACAGTAGCTCAAAATATCACTTCGGCGATTTCATGGTCGAAAATAAATCACGATCTAATTTTCTATTAGTCGTACGAATTTAGTTCCCTAATTTAGCCTTTCCCTACTGGTTAGTATCCCAGGAATGATCAGTTCCGAGTGAGAACTAGCTACGAGCACATTAATAAAATAATTCATTTCATAAATCCCAAATGAGCGAAATCTCGGAATGTCACACGTGGCGTTGGAGGCTTGAAAGCACAGGGACTTCCTGTACCAAAATTATATTCTTAACTGTTTGGACAATTCCTTATACAATATTTATTGTAACTTTGGAAGTGCTAAACAGTTATGGGAATCCTTAGAAAAGAAATACAAGACTGAGGACGCAGGCACCAAGAAATTTATGGTAGCCAAATTCCTGAAATTCAAGATGATAGATTTCTAAATCTGTCATGAATCGGATTCAGGAATTACAAATAATTCTGAATGACATTTTTGTTGAGGGAACGATACTTAGTGAATCATTCCAAGTTGCAGCTACAATTGAAAGGTTGCCTCCGTGCCGGTCAGGCTTCAAAAATTATTTGAGGGACAAACGGAAAGAGATAAGCCTTGAAGATCTCATTCTTCGCCTCCTAATCGAGGAGGAATGCTAATCCTATTGTTGAACCAAAGGCCAACGTAGTTGAGTCTTCCAATTCCACGCAAGATGAGCCCGGAAAGTTTCTTGCAACAGGTAGTCCGCAACATCAGGTTCCAAATCACATCTACGAAAGTCGGGTGCGCTTTGACTGTTTGCTAGAAGGAACAGGATCAGATTTTTCTGGCAGAGATGATTTGAGGGGGTTGTAGCAGTCTAGACTCACAATCATCTTTTCAAGCTTAACAAGATATGCGGACATTGAACCGAGAGAGACTTGGCTAGCCTTGATGTCAGCCTGAATAGGTGCCAGGGTTGAAGAAACAGGGGCTTCCACAGGGGATGTGGACCTAGATGGACGAGGAGGTCGAGCTGCACTCTTCTTGGGAACTGGAGCTGGTTTCTTCAACTTCTGAACTGCTGAAGTGCTGCCTTTTAATTTCCTAATATAATTTAGGACATTAAAAGCTCTTCTTCAATCATGGTCATAGACACTTAGTCGGCTAGTTCCGATCAAGCACATATACGAACATACGATCAAAGTGAACAGTCAATTATGGTCAATGGGAATAGAAAATATAATCAAAGTGAACATTAAAATACGGTCAAAAAGTGAATACTGATTTGGTGGAAAGGTTGTAATATTAGGGGAAGTGGGAGAAAATATTAGGTGGTCCCGGACCGCCAAGTCAGCGTGGTCCCCAACCACTCACGAGGCGCCACGTGGTCCACGTGGCGCCGGTGGGACCGGCGGGCCGGGACTCCTTTTTTGCCCATAAAAAATTAAACTTTTCTCTCCTTTAGCCTGCACTCCTCCTCTGCATGCAGAAACCTACGCCCCCTGTCCTTTCCAGTCTCTTCCTTCTCTCTCTCTTCATTAATGGCGGCCTCACCTTCCTTCTCTCTCCTTCTCTATCTCCTCGGCGCTGCTCTCTTCTCAGATGAAGCCCCACATTCTCTCTGTTATTTCAAAAATCTCTCCCGCCCGAGAGCGATTCGCCCGCCCCCTCGCCCGCCGGTCCCGACCTCCGCCGTCGCCTCCGCCCGCCCGCCCCGTGGCCTCCGCCCGCCGGTCCCGACCTCCGCCGTCGCCTCCGCCCGCCCGCCCCGTGGCCTCCGCCCACCCAAGAGCAACCCGCCCGCCGGTCCCGACCTCCGCCGTCGCCTCCTCCAGCCCAAGAGCAGCTGGGTCCCGAGCTCTGATAGCCGTCGCCTCCGCCGCCAAACCCAGCTCGGTGCTCCTCCCCAACGGCCGTGGATGGGGGAGCGGTGGTGGTCTCTTCTCCGCCGATTTCGTCGGCCTCTGCTGTAAGTCCAAGCGGGCCAGGCGTCGGCTCGGCATCTCCAGCTCCATGGGCCTCCCGCGCCTGCTCTTAGCCGGCAAGCCCGCGCCGCCTTCTTCGGTGAAGGCGTGCTCCATCTCGAGCGGGCCGGCCATTTGTCGTCTCCTCGCGGCGAGCCGCCTCGTCAGTCCGGGGACAAGCTTCAGGTGACGTCCGTGTCTCTCGGCTTCCCTTCGAGCGTCTTGTTTGTCGCGTGGAGTCTCGTTTTTTTTTCCTTCGTATTCGTGCTTTTGTTGCGGAAGTGGTGCTTGGAGGGGTAAGAGTGATCGGGAGCTTGTGAAGGTGGTAAAGGAAGTCGCCTTGGAAATGGAAGTGTCAGCAGATACACTAGGAGAGTTTGTTTCCAGTGTTCCTATTTTATCGGAGATGGATGCTCAGTAAGCTTCAGAGCTAGAACAGTTTCAGAATAGTTGGTAGTGAAGGTTTGGAAGAGGATCAGGGCTGACTGTGGTCTTCATTTCTTTCTCTCTTTTTTTTTTTTAGCACCGAACGGTTTGGGTCAGTGGCAATAATTTTGGATCTTGAAAATCTCGTTTGGAATCTTGGATTGTGGAGTTTCTGAGACCTACTTCGGATGCTTATGAGCCTTCTACGGGTTCTTTGCTTAAATTGCGGTGTTTAGTTGATGTAGAGAATAACCAGTGTTCGTCATGGGTTACAAACGAGTGCACTGTCCCCTGGTCCCTTTAGATGAACAAATGGGATGAAATAGTTCGCGTGCCTTGATATGCTTTCACTTCTTTTTCTTGAAGCAGTTAATGAGGAACCATTTAGGAGTTAGAATTGTGACGTTGCTGCTGGTTTCATATGTTCTTCTAAAATGTACTACACGGGACTGATCACCTGTGGCTTATACATCATTCTAAGTCAGGAAGTTAATGTTCATTTTGAGTATGGAAGAGTGCATATACCCGTGAATGATCATCAGTGATGCCAAAAATTTCTAGATGAAGGCACCTTTATTTCTTGCTTCAAGTGTGAGCATGGCTATTTGAGGTTAGACTTAGTATTTTTGCTTCCAAGTGTGAGCATTGATTGCACAATTTCATGTAATTACCATGGAAGTTAGTGTTTGATGTGGTGGATTTGCCTTTTCCCTCCACAGTTATTGTAAATATCTTCAGACAAGAAGGTCTTGAGGTGCTTGGATGGAGGCCTGTCCCTGTAGACTCATCCGTAGTTGGTTTCTATGCAAAAGAAACCATGCCTGACATACAGCAGGTATTTGTGAGAGTTGTAAAAGAAGACAGTGTTGATGACATTGAATGAGAACTATACATTGCCGGAAATTGATTGAAAAGGCCGCAAGTACGGAAAACTGGGGAAATGAGCCCTATGTTTGTTCTCTCTCGAATCAAATGCTAGTTTACAAAGGAATGCTTCGGTCAGAAGTTCTTGGTTTATTTTACTTGGATCTTAAGAATGATATGTATGCATCATCTTTCGCTATATACCACAGAAGGTATAGTACAAACACTAGCCCCAGGTGGCCTCTTGCTTAGCCAATGAGGTTTCTTGGTCATAATGGAGAAATCAACACCATACAGGTTATCTACTGCTTCCATTTTGTACTATGCTGTTTTCATGTTGCGGACTTCATAAATGTCTCTAAGCTAGTCCAAACGTGTTTGCAGGGCAACTTGAATCGGATGCAATCTTGTGAAAACTCATTAAAGTCCCCTATTTGGCATGGTCGTGAGAATGAAATCCGTCCTTTTGGTAATCCCAAAGCGTCGGACTCTGCAAACCTTGATAGTGCAGCAGAAGTACGTGTCATCTTTCTCGTGGTTCATCATAGGTTATTTTTGTTTTTCGAACCTTCACTATCTTCATGCTTATACACTTTCATGAGTCATCATCTTATCTTTCACTTTATTAGCTATGAAACTTGTTGGATAATTAAGAAAGAAATTGAAAATGTGATTTTTTTTATATAAAGGAGTGTGTAACTTAGGTCAATCAGTTGCTTTTTGTCAGTGCTTTTTTGGATGCTACTGAGTGCGTAACTTTTCTATTAATGTGTAGAATGTTCCAGATACGAAGTCTTTTTGTGTGGTCATCTAATGTGGCATATATAACTACGTGTTCCTCTCTTTATTGCTGCATAATGATGCGGTTGAGTTTAATTTGACAGTGAAACCTAGACACAACTCTCCTGCAATGATAACGGCAATGTATCCAAAAGCTTATGCTGTTGGGCACACAAACTAGAAATGTATATCTACTACAAATTATGACCCAAAAAAAAAAAACTGGTGCAATTTGTTTGCTATATGATGTGGTTATCGAAGCATGTTGATATCAAGTGAGCTAGTCTCTGTCTTCTTAAGATATATTTCCAGATAAAATTTATTATTGTACATTTTTTGAAGCTTTGTGCATTTGTGGTTGGTTAGTTTAGAAACCTTTCACATCTTTTCAAATTTTGAGCTTAAGATTAATAAATTAAGTCTTAAATAAAATTTGAAATTAGTATATGCAAGCCTACAGGCCAATACTTAAATAGGGCCAATATTTAAAAATTGTTGTTATGTGTCTTTGGTGGTTTTGGTGTCTTAACCTCCTTCGTCCTGTCTCTCTTCCATGATTGCGAGATTCGTTTGCTGGACTGATGTTTACCACCTTTGCTGAATTACAAAGCTCAATGGGGAACACGATAGGAGAGCGTTACGATCACTTCTAATGACCGATAAAGCAAGACCCTAAATTATGCATTCTCTGTTGTAAAAGTTCCCCATGTTTTCTGTGCATCTTTATTTCTTTCATACTTTTGCCTGTTTTTATCTATGATTGAAACCAATGGATGATCAATCTACTGTTTCAGTCTCTTGGTTTCCTTCATGAATCCTCATTCTCTTTGTTGGTTCAGTTGTTGATAAGAAGTGGCCGAGCTCCTGAGGAGTCTCTAATGATTCTTGTTCCAGAAGTATATAAGAACCATCCTACTTTATCGATCAAATACCCTGAGGTACTTCACTTACAGTTCTTTTCACACCTAGTGCTTAATTGGATGTGCTGTTGGTCAATCAAATTTTTCGCCAAGATCATTGTCAAATGTTCTCTTAGGTTTTGCAAAGGAATTTTCCAGTGTCACTAGATTGTTTCTCCATTCCTGAAGATTGATCATCTAAAATGTGCCAATGCTAGAGTACATTTCCAAACAAAATCTATCATAGCCAAATTGATTCTTTCACGATGGGAAATGGCTTTGTAATCATTATATGTCCTACTTTTTCACTTTATGTAATTAGAAACTAATAGGTAAGTAAGCCAGGTTAGCAATGAGGAATTTATTAATTGGAGGCAAGGACGACTAAATCATATAAATGTATTCTTACAAGAACATGCTGAAGAACTTTTTTGAGAATTGTTCCAGCAGTTGATTACTGGCAATTTGGTCATCAAATCCTACATAATGAGAAGCTTTTAGTGATAAGATAGACTGTTGAATGCATGACCTAAATATTTGTCTCTGTGACCTGCGAATGTATCACAAAAATCAGAGTTTTTGTCGGGAGCTCTGTGATTTTCCTTTGACTTGAAGCACCTATCGTTTGACAGGCTTTACTCCTCACTTTGTGCATATATCTTATAAAATCAGACCTGTTGCTTGTCTTGTAATGGGCTTTGCTTATGTTTGGTCTGTCTCAAGGTGGTTGACTTTTATGAGTACTACAAGGGTCAGATGGAGGCTTGGGATGGACCAGCATTGCTTTTATTCAGGTCATCCTCAAACACTAATAGAAACCATTATGTATGCTTCTATTAAATTATTGTTAGGAGGAGCCTTGACTTCAAATTAAATATGGAGTAAGCTCATTTTACTTGTAAGAACTAATTGAACTGGTATTTATCATTTAAGATTAAGAATCTACATAATAGTGGTGTGTGGCAATCTTTTCTCGGGCACATTTCTAGTCACTTAAATTTGGATGGGCTATGTGAGAAACACAGCGCATTATATGCTAGCCGGCACACTACATTATACTCTATATGGTTCGAGTGCTCTGCTTTACTACTTTCACACAAGATCAACAGAGAAATCCACAATAATTATTTTGTCATGCAAATGATATAGATGACACTATTTTGATTATTATAAAACCTGCTTTGCCTTATTCTCCTTTTCGCCTTCTACTCTATATGGGGATCAGGTGTCGTTTGAGGTTTTCGAACATCAAACAAAATTGGCTCATCTTATTCTTCTACATATGTCCTTATTTATTTTATTTTGTTCTTTAATATTCTGTGTGGCATTAGTTACATGGATTTGGATGGTCATCATGACCAGGCATAGATAGTTGAAGTGTAATTTAGGCTTGCATTAAAGTGTAATTCAGGCTTGCAAGTGTAACCAATGATGAGAGAGTTCGCTTTGCCAATTGGATTGAGATAATGACTTTATTTACTTAATTAGTATATGTATTTGCCTAATCATCCACCGATATAAGATGAGGGAAGGTTACGGTTGACATAGAACAGTAGTTACGATGCAATAATTGTAATGAATCTGCTTGTGCTCTGTTTTCTGTATATTTAGGTTGGTGTTTTGCCCATGAACGAGTCAAAAGTTACAAGGAAGGGCCGGCTTGGACCAGGAATGATGATAACGGTTCATTTAACAAGTGGATCTATTCAGTATATTCATTCCGTTTTATTTCTGATCTTTGATGTTGTTTTAGGTGCGGTACCTAAAGATTATTGAGAAGACCGGCTACCAGGCTCTTCCCTAGGTGAGATACATTACAATGGCAAGCAAGTATGAACTGAGCCTAATTTGAGGTAGATTTACTAGACATGCCAAGACTGATGGACAATGACTGAAGCTTCACAAAATGCAGGCTTTTCGAAGAGTGGTTTGATGCGGATAATATCGATTTTCTTGTTTTTCGACGTTGTATAATTATTCTTTTGGTTGGGCTTAATTGTTGGTGGTTCCCCAAATATGTAATACTCACATACTTTTGATAGATTTACCATTTTGATATTGTGAATGAATGTACTGTCGAGATCTTCGATTAATATTAACTTTGTGGAGTAGGTCTGCAAAATACACTTCAATCTTTGTCTTCGGTATAATTCCACAATCGGGTTCTTCAGTTTCAGATTGTGGATCTATTCAGTATTCAGACTTGGTGACGTTGGTTGTAGCCTGTCTTGATGTAATATTTGGGTATTTTTTTTAAAAAAAAAGGTCGAAAAGTCAAAAGCCACTACGGTGGCTCGGTTAAGTTAAAAAGAGACTGAGAGCTCCTTGCCGAGAATAGAATCAGAAAAGGGAAGAGGAAAAAAGGGAAAGGAGGAGAAGGGAAAAGAGGTTTCGCGCCAGACGAATCTTGCTTAGCCAATTCGATTTCGTATTTCAACGCTTGGTAAGCAACTTGCGCTCTTTGTTCATCCAATCGGAGAAGTTTTCAGATTTAGGGTATAAATTCAGAATTTTGGGAAATTCTTCGCTGCGAAGTTCGATTTTTGAGTCGTTGAGTTGCACATTTTGATAGAATTGGTAGTTTAGGGTGTCGTGGAGCCGAGGGATTTTACCAATTTTGATTTGGACTTACCGTTTACCCAAAACAAATTTTTCAAGTTTTTCGCGCGAAGTGAACAGTGCACGTCTGGTAGCCTTCAGGCCATATTTCACTGCGAAATCTGATTTGTGAGCCGTTGAGCTGAGCATTTTTGTACAATTGGTAGTTTAGGGTGTCGTGGAGCCGTAGAATTTTATGGATCTTGATTTGGACTTACCGTTTGGCCGAAACGAATTTTTAAAGTTTTACGCGCGAAGTGAACAGTACACATCCAGCAGCCTTCAGGCCATATTTCGCCGCGAAGTCCGATTTTTGAGTCATTGAGGTGCGTATTTTTGTAGAATTGGTAGATTAGGGTGTCGTGGAGCCGTGGGATTTTACGGATCTTGATTTGGACTTACCGTTTGCCCGAAACGAATTTTTTAAGTTTTCCGCGCAAAGTGAACAGTACACGTCCGGCAGCCTTCAGGCCATATTTCGCCACGAAGTCCGATCGTATTTTTGTAGAATTGGTAGTTTAGGGTGTCGTGGAGTCGTGGGATTTTACGGATCTTGATTTGGACTTACCATTTGCCCGAAACGAATTTTTTAAGTTTTCCGCGCAAAGTGAACAGCACACGTCCGGCAGCCTTCAGGCCATATTTCGCCGCGAAGTCCGATCGTATTTTTGTAGAATTGGTAGTTTAGGGTGTCGTGGAGCTGTGGGATTTTACGGATTTTGATTTGGACTTACCGTTTGCCCGAAACGAATTTTTTAAGTTTTCCGCGCAAAGTGAACAGTACATGTCTGTCAGCCTTCAGGCCATATTTCGCTGCGAAGTCCGATAGTATTTTTGTAGAATTGGTAGTTTAGGGTGTCGTGGAGCTGTGGGATTTTACGGATCTTGATTTGGACTTACCATTTGCCCGAAACGAATTTTTTAAGTTTTCCGCGCAAAGTGAACAGTACATGTCCGGCAACTTTCAGGCCATATTTCGCCGCGAAGTCCGATCGTATTTTTGTAGAATTGGTAGTTTAGGGTGTCGTGGAGCCGTGGGATTTTACGGATCTTGATTTGGACTTACTGTTTGCCCGAAACAAATTTTTGAAGTTTTCCGCGAGAAGTGAACAGTACACGTCCGGCAACCTTCAGGCCATATTTCGCCGTAAAGTCCGATTTTTGAGTCGTTGAGCTGCGCATTTTTGTAGAATTGGTAGTTTAGGGTGTCGTGGAGCCGTGAAATTGTACGGATCTTGATTTGGACTTATCGTTTGCCCGAAACGAATTTTTGAAGTTTTCTACGCAAAATGAACAGTATACATCAAGCAGCCTTCATGCCATATTTCGCCGTGAAGTCCGATTTTTGAGTCGTTGAGTTGCGCATTTTTATAGAATTGGTAGTTTAGGGTGTCGTGGAGCCGTGAAATTTCACGGATCTTAATTTGGACTTATCATTTGCCCCAAACGAATTTTTGAAATTTTCCGCATGAGATTTTACAGTAATCAGTAAGCTTAGAGAGAGAGAGAGAGAGAGAGAGTAAATGGCTATAAAGATGCAAAAAGAATTCTTGTAGACTTAATGTCAAAAGGTCTGCTTGTTTCAAATAATTTCACAAACTTAATTCTGAGCCTTTCTATAGCTTCTGTTTTCCTTAACACTGCTAAGATCAAAATGATGTGCCAAAATCGATATCAACTCAATAGATCGACATGGAGTCGGAGAAACGCTATACTAGAGAAAATGTGAGTGAAAAAGAAGCAAAAAAATCTAAGCTAAGACAATGCTTCATACGGTCGACTTCACATAACTCGCATTAGAGTCTCAATTTGGTCCTCCACGTCTCCAATGACCATCTTAGGTTGTGGATTATCTGGCCCTCGATCCAACCGTCACAAAAGCCTGCGATTGCGGTTTTGACGCAGTAAGGAAGCTTCCCGATCACCATCCATTTCATGCCACAAGCATATAGACATCGCTATAGACTACCTGAAATAAAGATCCAAGTTTGAAGAATCAGGTCGAATGAAACATCATATGACACAAGCATGCATCTTTTGATAAGCTAATAGAATCAATGACCAGATGATGAGTAGCATAATCAGCAAAGAATGTATCTAAACATGTGAATGCCCCATTCTACTCGAACTAATTATCTCATATCTCAACTCATATATATCAAAAGATTAACGCAAAATGCTAGAGCTGCCTCAGGAAACCACTGGTCCCAACAAATTGCTGACAAAGATAACAAAGTTGATGAACCTATCATGTCTTAACCTTTGGCTTTGACTAATGGAATCAGCCTAAAAATGTTAAAGCTTTGCGAAGTCTACATTGAGACTTCTGGTTGCCATTACCTGCAATAGATCAACTACATAGTGGCGATTTCATTAACTTGGAGACCTCCTGCTCGTGATAAATAAGTGAAGATGGAAAAAGGCATATACACATAAAAAGAGCAAGTTGTATCTACTACCACTATGTCGTCCCCAAAGCTAAGGATCTTTGATACGCGGCGCTACCACTTGTGGAACATATAGATGCTATATTCCATTATGCTATTTTCCACCTTCCGACGAATTATGAGGCGACCGTGCATTGTCTATGCCTTCAAAATCGTTCAATCCATTCATCCTAGGATGTGGAAAAAAATTTGATGGCCCCTGTACAAAGGTATAAATAATACATTGAAAAAAGGCAGTATGCTAAACAATGTGCCTGCATAAATATTATCTCAAATAATCCTACGTCAAAAAAAGTCATGCAACTTGTACCTGACTCAAAATATTTCCATGGGATCTATTATGGTACGCCAACATCTATTGACAAAAAACCGTTATCAAGAAGTATTAGAATAGTTTACTAAAATGAAACAACACCAGGATCTAAAATGATTTTCATAATAGGTACCTGACTAGTGAATGGGGAAAATCCATTTACACCCCCTGGCGGCATGATATATGGTGGTTGCATCTACACAAAAAAATGATCTCATTAGTAGAATGTAACAAAATGCAGCCACGGGATCTATTTTGCTACTCCAACATCTATAAACGATACACCACTAACAATAAACCTTAGAATTTGCAACAAATTTCAGCCAATATAGTAATCCAAACTTCTAAATACCTGACTAGTGAACGAGGAAAATCCATTCATAATCCCTGTCGACATAACATATGGTGGTTGCATTTATATAAAAAAATTTAACCAATTAGTAGAATGTAAATATAAATGTTGAAGTCAAAGGGAAACACCTGATTATGGAGATTGAGATTTATTATAGGACCACCAATGTTGGTAGGACGCAAGGTATTTTGAGTCTGATTTGAATATCTTGAATAATCTGGTAAATTAGTCACATCCTCCGTTGCTTGGACAACCAACTCTACATTGTAAAATAAGCAATATATTAATTGCCATCATGTATCACAAGTATAAAAATAAACTAAATACATTAGCTAGAACTCTACATTGCTCAGCTCACCTCGACTTTCTATTAGCATTGAGGATGTTCCTTTCTTAGATTTTTTCTTCTTTTTCTCACTTGAGCTTTTAAGCCTTCCATAAGTAGTTCCCTTTCCTTTCTTTCGAAGGGGGTCCAATGTCGGCATCTCAGGCAAAGAAGTCTCATCATTATCATCATCACTAGCATCATCTATCAAAACAAGACTTGAGTTGTATGCTGAAATTTCAGCCACTGTTACATCCAAGTTCTTCTTCGCTATCCTCATAGTATTTTCATCTTGGGCTCCCAAACTCATCACTTCAAAAGAATTTCGCATTAACGTGGAAAATCGATTAAATGTAGAAAGACCCGATGACATTTCACGAGATTCATCATTCACACACCCTTGCTTTGCACCCTTACTCCATCTTTTCAATATATAGGAAGATGGAATGGCTGAAACCGATATATTCCTATTCAACACGTGCAAAGCATGGCGACACAACCACCCATTTGATTCAAATAGTTTGCACGTACAAGAAACCGAAAAGTCAACAGGGTTAAATTTGACAACATGTTCACCTGTAATCCCCTCACGTACGAGAGTGTAGTGCAAAATTACCCCATCAAAAGCTTCACTTGAAACAAGTTCGGAGACACCTTGAAGAAATTCTTCATGAAACCTATGAAAAATGGTACGAGTATACACCAAACCGGCATGCTTCACTATCCTGTTATCCGCAAGCTGCGATTTGGGTGCCCCACGAGATTTATAATCATCTTGACCTTGAATTTCTCTCATATGTTTCAACTGTTCTTCATAGTGGTGAACAAATTCTACAAGGGTCAATGTCTTAGTTGACATTTTTTGGAAGACATTGTTAGTACTCTCACTCCTTTGAGTTGATCTTATTCCACAAGAAAAAATTTCACGACCAAAAGCCGAACTCCATTTATGTCTAAGGCCGTATAACCTCTGAAGCCAACTGTTATTCTCAGTACCCCACTCCTCTTCCATTTTCCTCCAAGTACATTCAAATTCATCCTCTGATTTGCACTTATACATAAGTTTTGAGAAATATTTATCCTTGAACTCTGACTTGTGGTAAAGATATGGAATGTTTTGATTGGCATTTTTCCCAATGTGCCATGTGCATAAACGGTGTTGAGTATTCGGAAACACCGTTCGAATGGCTTTTGCCATAGCTGCGTCTTGATCGGTGAAAATGGTTTTTGGAGCCTTATTTTCCATAGACTTCAAAAACATCTCAAATAACCAAATAAATGAATTTGCGGTCTCATCCAACAAAAATGCACAGCCAAACAAAGTATTCTTCCAATGATGATTAATTCCAACAAAAGGTGCACATATCATATTATACTTGTTAGTACGATACGTGGTATCAAAAACCACCACATCACCGAAACAATCATAATCAAATTTAGACAAACTATCTCTCCAAAATAGATTTGTCAATCTACCATCTTGATCTACCTGTTGTGCATAGAAAAACATAGGATTTTGCATTTGCATGCAATGAAAATGATTCAGAAGACTTTGACAATCTCCGCCACTTATATGAGTCAATCTTTCACTTTGCAAAAAATTTTGACAATCACGTAGGATGAAACCCAAGTTTTGGCTTCCTCCTGCTTCATTTGCCAAGAGTTTATATGCCATGGTCCCTCCAATACCAGCCTTAGCCATGTCCACCAAAACACCCTTGCAAGTATCAGAAATCATTCTTCCACATCTTATCAAGTGCCTTTGATGTTCAGGTATAAATCCATGATTATGCTCAGGAACATACTCTATGACTTCATAAATACCATTCTCAATCTTAAATCTGATAAATGCAGGACAGCCACATCTCACTTCAAGTCTTTCATATTTTCTTTCTTGTTCAGACGACTTGGCAGAATAACCCTCACAATTACACACAAAAGTGCGTCGAGTTATTTCTCCTTTGTCGTTTTTTCTAGTCTTAGACTTCCTCACTCCAAATCCTTTACCTATAGCATAGGCTACATATTTATGATATGCTTCAAGTTCACTTGTAAAAACCATTCCTACCATAAACTCAAAATCTTTTTCCAAGTCACGGGTAACATGTGCTATTTCATGCTGCAAGCAAAGAACAAAAAGTATTTAATGTAGTGCTTTCACAAGCAAAAGAACATCCAGCAAATATGTTTCACATAGTATGAGTTAAAGATTACCTCCGACTCAGCCATCGGATAACCTTACACTTGCGAATTAACTAACTAATCGTGAGCGAATCGGAGAGAGATGGAACCTGGGGCACTCGATAGATCCTCGCACAGGGCCGACTTAGCACAACCAGGTATTCCTGAGATATGACAAATCAAAACATAATGATCACATCTGAAGTAACAAATTATCCACAAAAAGAATTATAAGATGAGAAGAGAACACCACAAGCGGGTACAATGATAAGCAATGTTGTTTAAATCAGGTGATAATCAAGCCAATAAACTTCCAAAAATATATCAGAAAACAATAGCATTCTTGTACGTGATCTAGACATAAAAACAGATGCTGCTAGACATTAGCTTTTTAGGCCCCGGACTTAATGCAAGTATTCCTCAGTCTGCTCTTCATTCTAACTCATGAATCATATTGAAAAATAAATAGGAAGAGGGAAGGAAAGTGGGGAAGAATGCTCCACCCGGGTCACACCAAACAGATGATTTTGAGAAGAACAATGAGTACAACAATGACATGCCAAGATTGGAAGTACCTCAAAGGTAATTATGGTAGTGCCACAGTCAGTTTCTCTTCACCAATTCCCATGACATAGCTGCACATGATATTTATCGCATTATCATGATGCTTTATTGCAACATAAGCAGCTAAAAGAGATGATCGGAAATGGATTGTATTCTAATCTCACAATATTGGAAAGATGACAAACGTCCGAGAATGAACATATGCTAATGAAACATCACCAATAAAATTCAATCTCAACCAATACCACTGCCAGAAATTAAATATATGTCAATCTCAGCAACCAATAGCCAGGTTAAGAGTGAAAAACAAGCTCTTGGAAAAGCTTGAGTGCAGTTAAGAACTAAACAACCTACTGTTGAATACTTCTTTCCTTTTGAGTGAGCACATCATACAAATTTTACCCTCTCCTCCTCCTCACCTGCTCCTATATCTTCCAATTCCCACTTTCTACGTGCATCCTTACCTTCTTTTCACTCCATTACCAAAGTCTGAATCTTTATTTTCATGACCCCGTACCTCCTCGTACTATTGGACCATGTAAAGCAAAGGAGACCTAAGCAACTTTTACAGGATTTTAACAAATTCTCCACCTAAAGTGTTATACATGACAATTCTTACAAAATCTTCACCTTTTTTCTACTCATTGGAGGACATAAAAGAGAATAGAGCCATAACCCAAGCACATAGAAACCACGGGAGCATTGGTACTTTATAAACGCTTAGCGGCTTATTAAGTTTAACAAAACCAGAATATACTGTACAACAAAACAAACACCAAAATACATGAATATCAGGACTGTTAGTTGCTCTCACACCCCTCTATCAGAATTTTCCCTTTCATCGTCTGATTTCAAGTGGAATATATCAATCTTCAAATTTTCAGCTAATAAAGTATAATTGTACTTCTCTAGAGGGATCTTTTCTGCACCATGAAATGGTCTGAAACGATCACAGCACCAATCTAATCCCAGAGAAGGACATCAACCAAGGCAAGCTTCAATCATAACATCCAAGGATATGACATATTAGAGACCCTTCCTTTCCAAGATAATTATAACTTATGGCAGCAAAAGGTTTTTCCCTTCATGGTAGATTGTGACCAGAAGAACCAGAAAATGGTAAAGTGACTTCTGTTGCATCCCAACAACTGCACCAAGGGGAAAGTGACAGATCGTAAACGGATAGCATTTCATAAAATACACCGAAGAGAATTGTACCCCATGTTAATCTTACTAATATTCAGTACCCGACTACTAAAAATAGCATTTTAGCTTACATTGCTGGCTTACAATGTAATATGATGTACTCATCTAATCGAACAGTAACCAAATGAAACCACTGCAAGATGCTAACTCACCCAACATCCACAGAAGAGGCAGTAGTTATTCTCATCTCTTAGTTTCATCAATACAGCCAGCAGATCCTGTATACAGTAGAAAGCAGTCATTCATTACTGTAGTGCCAATTTTTCCATGAGTCATACTAAAAATGATTCGGCAATGAACTTCGTGAACTGATGCTTATGCAACATTTTATATTCAAGGACTTTTTTTTTGTCGTGATATTCAAGGACTTGAGAGAAATAACAAGAGGCAGATCTCTGACAAATTTTCCACTACGGAATTTCAGTCACACAGACGAACTTCCGAAAGTTCGGAAGAGTTTTAAGATGAATTGCAAAGAAAGGCAAAAGCAGTTGCTTAATCAACTGAACCTCCATCTTCAATCTGATGAACATAATGGGTGACAAACGTTTTCACGAGTTATGAAAAAAGAAGCATTCAGTTGCACAGCATAATGAATGTAGAAAATCCTATTACTGATCTCAGTCGTGCACTACACATCACTAATTCACTGTCATTTCACCTACTTTCACTACCATAGAACCAAGGATGCAACAAAAGCATATGATAGTCTGAAACTAAAACCTGACTTCATTAAAACAATATGTTTCACCATTTCTAGGAAACAAAATGAACAAGCCAAAGCCATTTAAATGTAATGAATGAAACTGAGATTTAAAGAGAATCTGGATTCTGGTATATGACATCAAAGAACATAGCTCTTCCGTAATTACTTCCTCTTCCTCTTCATCATGTTCACCCTCCTCCTCGCCCTCATTCTTCTCGGGCTCTGGAAATTCCTTATTCCCTAATTGATCTAGTGCAGCCTTTGCCTTCTGGAAATATACAAATATCCTCCGACCAAACAATCCTAGAATGATGAAATACGCAATTGACCATGGAAATCTCCTCTTACCAACGACAAAACAAAATCACCTCATAGCATCCAAGCCGCCTATGCACATAAGGCGCACAAGCCCATCTGACTAAGGTACAGAACCAAACAAGAACGAGCCTTTGTAGCTAAGAAAGAACAGAGCAGCTCGAATAAAAAAACCTAACCACAATCCCAATCCTCCTAACTCCACGTCCGCGAGACTGCGGCATCAAAACGAAACTAATATGCTCTATCAGATCGCTAAGGCCTTGGTCTTTTCCAAGACAATTAAAAGCTAGGACCTATAATCCAAAACTAAAGACAGACACATCGAAAAACCTCAAAAGAGCTCGAAACACCATCGAACCTCAAATAGCCATGCTCACACTTGAAGCAAGAAATAAAGGTGCCTTCATCTAGAAATTTTTGGCATCACTGATGATCATTCACGGGTATATGCACTCTTCCATACTCAAAATGAACATTAACTTCCTGACTTAGAATGATGTATAAGCCACAGGTGATCAGTCTCGTGTAGTACATTTTAGAAGAACATATGAAACCAGCAGCAACATCACAATTCTAACTCCTAAATGGTTCCTCATTAACTGCTTCAAGAAAAAGAAGTGAAAGCATATCAAGGCACGCGAGCTGTTTCATCCCATTTGTTCATCTAAAGGGACCAGGGGACAGTGCACTCGTTTGTAACCCATGACGAACACTGGTTATTCTCTACATCAACTGAACACTGCAATTTAAGCAGCAACCCAGAGAAGTCTCATAAGCATCCGAAGTAGGTCTGCAGAAACGCCACAATCCAAGATTGCAAACGAGATTTTCAAGATCCAAAATTATTGCCACTGACCCAAACTGTTCGGTGCTAAAAAAAAAAAAGAGGGAAAGAAATGAAGACCACAGTCAGCCCTGATCCTCTTCCAAACCTTAACTACCAACTATTCTGAAATTGCTCTAGCTCTGAAGCTTACTGAGCATCCATCTCCGATAAAATAGGAACATTGGAAACAAGCTCTCCTAGTGTATCCGCTGGCACTTCCATTTCCAAGGCGACGTCCTTTACCACCTTCACAAACTCCCGATCACTCTTACCCACTCTTACCCCTCCAAGCACCACTTCCGCAACAAAAGCACGAATACGAAGACGAATACGAAGGAAAAAAAAAACAAGACTCCACGCGACAAACAAGACGCTCGAAGGGAAGCCGAGAGACACGGACGTCACCTGAAGCTTGTCCCCGGACTGACGAGGCGGCTCGCCGCGGGGAGACGACGAATGGCCGGTCCGCTCGAGATGGAGCACGCCTTCACCGCGGAAGGCGGCGCGGGCTTGCCGGCTAAGAGTAGGCGCGGGAGGCCCCTGGAGCGGGAGACGCCGAGCCGACGCCTGGCCCGCTTGGACTTATAGCAGAGGCCGACGAAATCGGCGGAGAAGAGACCACCACCGCTCCCCCATCCACGGCCGTTGGGGAGGAGCACCGAGCTGGGTTTGGCGGCGGAGGAGACGACGGTCAGAGCTCGGGACCCAGCTGCTCTTGGGCAGGAGGAGGCGACGGCGGAGGTCGGGACCGGCGGGCGGGTTGCTCTTGGGTGGGCGGAGGCCACGGGGCGAGCAGGCGGAGGCGACGGCGGAGGTCGGAACAGGCGGGCGGAGGCCACGGGGCGGGCTGGCGGAGGCGAAGGCGAAGGTCGGGACCGGCGGGCGAGGGGGCGGGCGAATCGCTCTCGGGCGGGAGAGATTTTTGAAATAACGGAGAGAATGTGGGGCTTCATCGAGAAGAAGAGAAGCGCAGGAGATAGAGAAGGAGAGAGAAGGAAGGTGAGGCGCCATTAATGAAGAGAGAGAAGAAGGAAGAGCTGGAAAGGACAGGGGGCGTAGGTTTCTGCATGCAGAGGAGGAGTGCAGGCTAAAGGAGAGAAAAGTTTAATTTTTTATGGGCAAAAAAGGAGTCCCGGCCCGCCGGTCCCACCGGCGCCACGTGGACCACGTGGCGCCTCGTGAGTGGTCGGGGACCACGCTGACTTGGCGGTCCGGGACCACCTAATATTTTCTCGGGAAGTGGAGTTTGAAATGATTGAGAAAGGACACTAGAGTCAAAAAGGAAAAGAAAGAAAGAAAGAAAGAAAGGAAAAGAAAGAAGTAAAAGAAAGGAGAGAGAGAGAGAGAGAGAGAGTCGGCGAGAAGAGAAGACAAACAAGAAGCGACAGGCCTCGCGCAGGAGGCGAAAAGGAGGAGAAGAGAGAGAGAGAGAGAGAGTACACCGAAGTAAGTGAGAGTTTGTTGAGCAGAGTGACCAGAGTGACGCATCAAGGAAAGTCACAAATTCCACGGCCATAGAGTCAAAATCAGCCAAAACCATCGACTTCCCTAAAACACATTTGAACAACTACATAAGTTCTGGCAGGTCTATGATATTTAAAGACGGATACTTTCGATTCACACCCAAGATATTAAAATTATGTAGAAAACTCCATGGAAGCATCTTCCTATGATGATAAGCTCACTCGATGCCTAATCCTTATCATGATCTCCGACCTCACTCTTATATTTTTTAGCCTAATATATAAACAACCCTAACTATATCCACCACTTCGTTTTCGCAACCCCTTCTGTCTAATCCCGTTTTCATTAGCCAAACTAATGTAGTGTCATGTAGTTATTGCCCAATGGACCTCACCCTCTAAATGCCTGCACTTTATGCCACCTTTAGGTTTAGTTCAATTTATCCTTTTTTCTCCATCCAAGATGCAACCAACTGTTTTGCTAATTATTTAAACATACCCCAAGCATATATCAAACTCTTTAATTCAAGCCAGCAGTTAACTCATCACGTTACGCTTGAAATTCATATAAATTCAACTTTAAAAATTTAAACTAAATAAGTAAGCATCAACCAACCGAATTCAAGAGTACCAAAATGATCGATCTAACTTCGCGCCCAAAGTTTTCACTTACCTGGATGGAAAGCTTTGGGTGGACATGGAACTTGATCCTTCTTGCTCACAACAAACGCGGTCAAATCTTGGCCTAACTTATACCAACACGAAAAGCTACGAGCTAGGTACCGTGATGATCGAGTTTATTTTCCAATAGTATATGGCTTGTACACCGATTCTAAGTGTAGCTTAGCAAATTTGGCTCTTTCTAAGAGGGTGTCAGCTGACCTTTTCACCGGCGGGCGTTCCAAAAAATGGTACTTAGGACGCCTAATCACATGTTGTGCAAGAATACTGCGCCATTTGCTGCCTGTCCACTCACACTGGAAGAATAAGTGTGTTCTGTCTTCTATACCAGGTCTAGAGAAGTTACATTGAATATCAACTAAAGTCATCCATTGGTCGACAATCTCTCCTGTTGGTAGTCTATTTCTACAAACGAGTCTGTCAATAAAATTGTGTTTGCTAATACCGCTGGTCCAAATTAGGTTATACCACTCCACAACCGGTCCCACATGTATGAGTTCATCATAAATTTCTCGGCAATAGTAACCTGAGCTATGGATAACTGAGGTTATAACAGGTCACGATTTAAGGAGACATAGCCAACTCCAAGCCATACTGTCCCAAGTTAACCTCGAGCAAGTTCATGGGGGCTAACAGTTGCAAAGAATCAAGCACCCTTCATCGCGATAG